GACGATGCACGTGTCGTAGAAAAGCCGGAAAAGAAAGCAAAAGAGGATATTGTTCTATTCTATGCGGACACATCGTATGAGAAATAACCCTTAATTTTTTCCATAAATATGAAATATGAGCATTAAAAGCATGTAGTCGGCCGTTCTCACGAACATTAAAGTCAGCTGAGATTTAACTCGTTCTCTCAGTCTAATTGTATCATTAGAGTTAAATCTTGATAAACGCCAATGTTTATATACCGAGAAACCTGTCTTGAAAATATTCGTACCTTTTTTGATGCAAGATACTCCATGCCTCTGGCCACACAATATCCGAAAACCGTGAGATCCCTCGATGTCAAGGCTGCCGAATCCTCGCTGAAGTTGTAAAAGTACTGCCTGGTGCGGTGATCACGCAGATACGCGAGCAGTTTGCCGTACATGACATACTCCAGTATGAGATAATGAGGCTCTGCAATCAGAAAAAATCATTAAATCGTTTATGTTCATTCATGGAAAAACGCATTGGAGCGTGTCGCTCCTGCGTTTCGAATAAGGGGATCTCAATCAACCAAGGATAACTCTTATTCATCAACTCTTACTCACGATTCAAATGAGTAATGCGATTTTTACAGGACGAAGCGAACGTATAGTATTACGTACGAGGCGTGCATGGATTTGCTTTAATGACAATTTACTATTCAAGGCACACTATACCGTGATCCAATAAATTGAAAACATCGTTGTATATAAGGAAAAACGGCATTTTTTTCTCGGGCATCGATTACGCTTTCTAAAAGGTTGGTCGAATTTTTCCCGACTGCATCGACGTGACCTCTTATTGTAATATAGTCGAAAGAGATGTAAGTGTAATCGACGCGCTTGAATTGCAAACATGTAAATGAGCCTCTGTGTGTATAACTTTTTTATGTAAATAATTCAATTAAACATCAGAATATCCAATATGCAATAAATTAATTGCAACCTGTACAATTATTTGTCATTATTGACGTCATATTTGTCGAGATAACAATTTTGAATATTTAATGATTGCTTTAATGAAGTTACATTTTACGTGGAATTTATTTAACTATATTATATTAAACTGTAATGCTTTCATCGTAACGACGGCTATATAAAAATGTATACAGGCGATTAGAGGAACACATGATGAGGATATTTGAGAAATATTTTACGTTCGAAATAATTTAAGAGAGATGCACACTTGGAAGAGCTCTCGCTTAGGTAGTACTCGCTTGATTGTAACTTATGGAGCCACTTTTGTCGGCGCGTCGAATCGTAATTCTCATATTAGGCCGATATTGCCATTCTCCCTAATAATTCTTGTTCGTTAAGTAGCATATGTTAGCGTACGCTTCTCGCTTCGAATTAATCGAGTTAGTACGTTTTTCCAAGTAAATTAAACGTAATGGTTACAATGCTTGTTTCGATCGTTAAGTCGTGTGTTATTAAACGTGTATTAACAATTTAATATCATGACACAGTACTGAATAATTTGCATCCAAATTACCATGCTACACGATGCATGTTTGTACACGAACCTTAATATATCCATAAACTTTAATTAAATCTGACAGAAACTGTCAATTAATGGAAAAGTAAAAATAAATAGATCTTTATTAAAATTGCAATTACGTAATAACTTATTGGAAAAAAGATAAGATTAGTTTACATGTAAAATCGCACTTAAAGATTTTCGTGCTGCAATTTTACGTTCATTCGTGTGACCAACTAATTAAGATATATAATATATATTATCTAATAATTTATATGTTATAGAAAATTGCAATAAAAAATATGAAATTAAAGCAATCGCTGCATATAAAGAAAATGATCTCTTTTCAAGAGCAATGCCTGTTATTATCTCGTTGGCACATAATATATCGAGGTTCCATTATCAAATACGCGCGTTGAATTCGTGTTAACTGTACACTGTAATGCTTTCGTTGCAAAAATCGCGGATCCACGCCTATGTCAATCGATATGGCACGCGCATGATACAATAGCCGTGACGAATGCAAAGCCATACGAATGCGCAACGGCGATACGTGTGCTGTGGTATCGTTCACGTTTCATTTTCACGTAGATCATATTTTGCGCACGCATTACTGATAGAAACATATTCGCGAAACAACGAAGCGACAATACAAGCAAGAGAATATATTCGGCCGACGCGATGCGTTTAAACAAGTTCCTTTCGGATCTCTTTTTAATCCTACATCATATGCAAATTATTCGGAAACAGTCGACTGTAAACAAAATTATAAACGCGGTGGCATTGGAGATTTTGACGCCAATCGACGGTTTTTAAATCGTGAAGTATAATGACGTGCAGTTAATACCGCGAATTTTGGGAGAACTCGTTTCTGAGAAGACGCGAAATATCAGGAACTTATTTAATGAGAAGTTTCATCATAAAGCGAAACCTCTAAACCATATTATCAGTCTCTTAAACTTCCAAAATATTATCCAAATGAAAAACTCGTTCTAAAAGGAAGAGTACCGCGTTCTTAAGTTCGTAGGTTTTAAAGAATGCCGCCTTTTTAATGTCGCTCCTATTTCATACGTCGTCGCAAAAGCAAATAAGCCGAAACTTGATTAGGGACAAAAAGAGAAAGACGATAGCTAAATAAGAGAGGCTCATCGTTTTTATCAGACACGAAGCATTTTTTAATTGAAACGGAGAGGAAATCGTTTAGCGATAAAAAAACCAACGCAATTATGATGATGATGCGAGAATTTAACGACACGCGATATGTTGAAGATATTATATTTGTGTTTCTGAGATGGACAAAATTAATAATTTTTTTTCTATTAAAAATATTTTACATTAAAAATATAAGAATTTGTTAAACTTTTTTTATTTGTCACAGTTCCTTGATTGTTAATAATTTTCTTGGCGGTCGAAGCATGACTGTTCGACACGAGATTTATTTTCGTTTGAACGACGATCGTAAAACGGTCAAAAAGACTTTCCTTTGACGAACGTCGCCGGAAAGAAATTTGGACGTGGCCGCGAACGATAAATGCGATGGAGCCGAAATTTAAATGTCGTAAATTTTATATGGCTCGTCTCGCGTTCTTGGACCGCCAGGAACTTTCCACGTTCACCATTGTGCGAGGGCAAAGCTACAGAGAGAACCCTTTAAGGTCCGCACCTTGAGATGCGTTAGTGACGCCCGAAATGCAGACACACCTTTAAAGTCCGCGATTTGCCACAGCAATCATCTCGACCTTTACTGCGCCCACGATAAGTATTTTATCGTTACGATTGCGGGCTCACTGAACGAATATCTTTCCTCGTCGAGTTTATTTTTCGCCTATTTCTCTCGTAAACGATCTTTTTCAGTGATTAAATGTTTCATTAGCTCCATTAGCACATTCGTTTCGCTATTCATGAGAGTAGAAAATACTAAAACAATCGGTATTCTTCATACTTTTTTAGTAAAAACTTAACGTCATGATTTTTTAACGATTCTTACTCTTACTAAGGAAAGATTTATATTTCTCTAAAATGTATAAATCCATAAATCAGAAACTTGTTAAAAAAGAAATTACACGTATGTAAATTCCGCTGAAACGAGATCATTATAACTTTAACTTAACTTTTTAAACTTAACTTTTTAAACATGTTTTAATTAATTGATAGAAATAATAGTGACGTAATTTCATTAATCGAAATAAATCGAATTGTCGCACTTAAATGAGTCGAGCATCCGTCCAGATCGTATCGTCGCCTGCTATTTTATTTAGTTTCCTTTGATTCACGAATGGAACGACCGTATCGCGAGGATACCTACTTAATAAACGTATTGTGCCGGGAAGAAGCACTTCGCGGGGATGCGTATGGAAATTTATACGAACGATGAGAATGACGATACCGAACAGCGCGTGGAAGAAGAGAAAGACATAGGTATAATGGTCTCTGCCTCTCCGTGATTCATCTCGACACGTTCAAAATTGCTCGAACTTTTTTGACGTCTCTATTGCAAATTTGTTCTTCGTAAAAAATGCAAAATTAAATAAATTAATTTACGATCTGTAATACGTACTTTCTCGTTCGTCAAATTATCAAATTTAAAAATAAAAAAGTAATACACAATACTGTGAGTAAGATTTCAGAAATAATAATTATTATATTATTTGAATTAAGATTTTAAGATATTGATGTATATATTGTGTGCAATATATTGTATGTATAAAAAATATATGTTCAATTAAAATAATTTTTATAAAACAAAAAATATATATATTAGAATTAAACGTAATACGTGAAATAAAATTTTTAACATTTCAGAGTTTTATAAATGATTTACTGCACACAGAGTTTTGTGTATGTTTTTTTTTTCTACTGAACGTTGTTAAAGTTCTGTAAAGGCGTAATTAATTTTCTCTCTCAATTTTTCGTAATAAGGACCAATCTTCAAAAGAGTAATCACTTATCCGCAAGAAAATTATTTGCCAATTCGTTGCGCGTATGCTTCCAATAATAAACCCTCGGCATATCAAGTTTCTTCGAGTACTTGATTCGATATTATGGAAGCAGGATGCTGCGATTTTTAATCAATCAAGAGATACGATGGAATAACAGAGAACCATACGTCGATTATACCTTTGTTTGCAAATAGATGCAATCATTGATATTTTTATGCAAACTTATGCATGATGAAACGACTGCGTCATATCAAGTGAAAAATTGATTTGATTGAAAAATATTAATAAATCCAATTGTGTCCACAAAGCCAGATTTCGAGATAGACAATTTTGATTTAACGTCGACGAAGCAACATTGCAAGTAAAATACATAATACATAAATTGTTTACACGACGATTTAATTTGCAGCTGTCAAGTTTGTGGATGTTAACTGTAATTATCTATTATGGCATAGATAACAACACAACGAAACGGATAAATCTTCCTGTATGTACAAAACAAAGAGATTCTCATGCAATTATCATAATGGCTATCTAATTTATCGTCCTAACGAACACAATCGTAAAGACAAACATTTTCACGCTGACCGTTTAATCGTTCTTGTGTAACTGTCTTCTTATGCAATCATTAAAGAATTTAAAACATACAAACGTCAGTCCACAACATGCAAAATGCATTTTGCACATTTTACACACGTAAATCATCGATTCTTAATGCAAATATGCGATTTAAAGAAGCGATAAAATTTTTTCAAAGCGATTTATAATTTCGGCGCGTCTTAGATATTACAAGTAGATAAAGTCATGTATGAGATTGCGATAGATTGAATGAGATTGCGACAGAGATTTATCGTTTCATTATATTTAATTTATTTATTAATTACATGGAATATATTGTTCGCGGAAATTTTAATAATTTAAATGATGAGCTAGGTCGCTAACTCATTGCTCGTCCGCGAATTTCGATTAAACCACAAGGACGACTAGTAGAAGAAGCATCGCGAACGCATCGCGGCGGCGGCGGCGGCGGCGGCGGCGACCCGATTGGAGGAGTCGCAATCCAGACACGGTTCTATCTCTGTATACCTGTCTTCGGCGGGACTTGATTACTTAATTACTATATACCAGCGATCCGCGCATTCTGCGTCGAAGTGCCGCCACTTAAAACACTACCATCGGTTTTTATAAAGTTTACGCTGCCAAGGTTCGTGCGTGAGCGGCGACATGCAAGGTCGTAGATAAGTGACGGTAATGAAGAAGATTCACTGAGTACAGCTGCAGGTGCAGCGCCGATTGCTCGCCGATGCAAATCGAAATAGGGGCCGCGTGCGAGGATACGTTTCCGCGGGAAATTGCGCGATGCATGTCGCACCGTCGGAGTACGTGTTGATACCATATAGTATATTTCTCCTCTCTGTTGATTATACTGTACGATGCGCAACGTACGCAGAAATCAGGTTGGAAGCAATTTTTCGTTAATTGAAAAAATATGATACAAGGTTCGGTTGGTTTCATGCAATTACGTTTGAGAAATGTTGGCTATTAAATTAATGTTACCAATCCTATATATTTCTTATTTTTCAAGTTTTAAAATTATTCCACTTATAATTGCAATTTTTAAGTTGTATTTTAATGTTTTAATTACTAATTCATGAAGTTCTGTATATTATTTTCGAAGAAAAATTAAAAGTATAAACAGATTGATGTTATATACAACTTACCTTCTTCGGTGCAGCAACCTAGAAGTGTTACGACGTTTGGATGACTGCCCAATTGCTTCATAATTTCGAGTTCTCGATCTAAGTCTTCCTTTTCTCGATCGGAGGCACCTTCTTTGACAGTTTTTACTGCCACTAATCGGGTCGTGCCTTGATGACCTGTCAAATCATCGGCTTCGGCCTTCCACACCTAACATTTCAATTTAATCATATTTTAGATGTCTACTAAATTTTAAAAATATTTTGGTCCTTTTTAAGACATGCAACTAATCAACTCTCGCATTTTTTAAATCCATTTAATCTAAATAGTGTTAATTAATTTGATAAACGGTAATTTAAGATCGTGGAATCCAATTTTCTCGGGTTCGTTTTATGTTATTAAAGATATCTATTACCGCTACTTTGGAAAATTTATAAACTTTGATGGGAAACAATTACGCGAATCGCTCTGCGCTCAGATCCGTCTTTTCATTATTAGAAAAAAAATCTATTGCGATAAATTATATGTTCCCCAAGTTTTCCCACAATTGATTTTGCATAATCAATTTTCGATTATACCAATATTATACTAACTACTTATTATCGTATTTCATAAATAGGTAAAGCGGTATCGCACATATTGAAAGCTGTTATTACTATTTAAATTTATTTAAATCAATGCGGAGATAGAATTGCACAAGCAAAGAAGTTAAATAAAATCGCTTGAGATTAAATTAATATCGGAAGAAGGAACCACATTAAATTTGTTACGAAGATTACGTTTCCGCATGAATTTCAGGTATTTCATAAAATCCATCCGACCGCCGCAAATTATAGGCATATCCTTTTTTATAGCCGCAAATCCTTTTTTATAGGAACGCCGCAGAAAGTATCTTCTCACCTGGCCGAAGTTTCCTTGCCCGAGGACTGTCTGTAATCTAAGCTTATCTCTAGGAAACTCCCATCTGGATTCTTGGGATGGCGGAGGCGGCGGTTTCTCAGCTTCGTGACACTGTGCGGAGAGTCGAGAGTTAAATTGCAGTTTAGAATTGTACAAAAATAAATTCACGCTAATTCGCATACGCGCCGAGATTGAACGTTCGACGCGCTCGTCTAGAATTAATGTGTCTCACACCTATCACTGACGTAGAAATTTCTTTACGTTAAAGGAAACGAACTTCCGGGATTTTCCACTGACGTGTCTCTACGTATAATGTAATTTTCCTATGCATTATGAAACGTTATGAAATCAATCTATTATGTATTACGGGCAAACAACTCTGAATATTTATGCAAATTATTTCTTCAGATAAAAAATAGACAGACAGCTTTTAATTAAACTGCATTAAATAAAATCAATATCTCGATATTAATGCGTATGCGGAGTAAATTATTTACTCCAAATACGTTTTTGCATGATTTCTAAATTGAATAAAATACAGTTCGAACGAAAAAACTCGCGTTATCCTGAACGCGTCGAAAAAGCTGTGCAAATAATTACTATGTGTCTGCCGTCGCATTAAATATGCAGAACGTTCGTTAATTTCTCACCAAGTGCTGTATTCTCGGTAGCTTTGTGATCGCCTTCTCGATGGACGTCTTGAAGTCGCCGTTTTCGAGATTAAGAGCGTCCTTCCTACAGCTTATCTCCGATGACGTGTCCGACTCCTCGAGCACCTGCATAAGCAAATCAACGTCAGCGCAACGTGTATGCAACATGCCGCACGCTCGCGCGTCGGGGAGCCGCTTGAATCGGTCGTCACTCCCGTTTAATTGGGAAGCGTAATGCCGCGTGGCAATGAAGATCAGCAAGATAGATCGAGACCGCGTCCCGGGAGTATTTCCGCGAGTAATACTGCCGGTATAAAGTTAGACGAACATACCGCGGTTTTATATGAAAATACAACGACGGCGTTTGTTACAATAGAGATAAGATGTACGCAAATAATTCAAAAATAAATTACCAACTATATATCGTGGCTTTTAAAAAAGTCGAATTAACTACAATCGTGCTGAAATATTTTTGATAATTGAGAATAGCAACGAAGAGAGTATGTGTATCATATAAAAGCGTTTTCTTACACCAAATTTTTTTACAGTTTATGTAAACTTATGTTTATAAATAATTTAAGTTCGTAATAAAAAAGAAAAGTTTTTGATATTAACCATCATATTATATTAATAAAATTATATTAATAACTTTTTTTAATCTTGCATTTATTTTTGTTTATAACTTTTTTTCTCTATCTTATAACATTTATAATTACTCTAAACTTAATAAAAAAGTTCTTAATGTACGAAAAATTTTGAATATATCTTGAAACCGATATTAATATAAAAAAATTATGTTTAATAATTACGCGATGTATTATCACGCACAGATTACTTCGAAGAAGAATATCTACAGCAAAGAATCGCTGCTGTTATGCGAGAATCATCAGGAAAGCGGATCGGTTTGCCTGTCGACGGCGAAATTTCAATCTCGAAAAACACAGCATGCCCGAGTTTAACATCGGACTCCGGGCGAGCCCCAAAACGGTCTCGCTTATTTATTTGGTCCCTGTGTGTACTCGTCCTTTCTCCCTTCTCCCATTTGCGTGCTCCTTTTTTTTACCATCCACGCAAACCTTTATACCGCCATTCAGATTTATTTCCATGACTGTCAAGTTAAATTTAAATTTATATCCGCGTTATTATTTATGAATGTCTTGCAGGCGTGAAAGCATTTCGCTTATGTCATTTCCGGAAATTTTGTGGCTTGTATCGTTAATTCCGCTATTACTTCTGACGCCAAAAAAATTTTAACGCTTGTTATTTGCAAAAAATGGAATTTCCGCAATTAAAAACTATATATATAATATAGAATATGGTTTATCAAGAAATATTATGACAAAGAATAAATATCAAAGTATGAATTTATGATGAAATTTTTAAGTGAAAGTATGTTACCGATATAATGATTAATAAATTACACAAGTAACGTAATGTGCGGCACAAATATTCTCATTTTCTGACATGATTTTCTCGATGAAGCTCGTACAAAAAGATTTTCGACCTTCGATGCAACGTTCTTCTTAACAATCTGAGGAAAATTCCGCGGAAAAAGAATCATTGTAGGTAATGAGCCGAACAATTTTCGCATTATCCAACGGGGCACGTTCATTTTCTCATTACTACAACGTGCCACGCTCCATCCAATAATACTGCGCTCGACGAATCATCCCGAGATTATTCTGCATACAATGAACTTGTAGTAATTGTCGGGGGAAAGGGGAAGGATTATTAACCATTTCATGAATCATCGCGAAGTTAGCCTTCGCGAAGGAATTATTCGATGACCGCGTTTGATTGTTTGATATTCATTCACGACGATGTCACGGCCACGTGATAAAGTGGCATGGAATTTGCAACTTGCAAGAAAAAATAATAATAATTACGAATTTTATCCTACTGAAATATATCTATTTTTTATTACTAACTAATTTTTATTACTATTCAGATCTCAAACCTGCAATGTCTCATTTTGAATTTAAAACCCGTTTTAATTAAAACTGAGGTTGTTCGGGACGGTATTTTCGGATAATTACAGATCTAGCGGGCTACATTCTGGATCAGCTAATGATCCATAACAGCGGAGATTCAGACATCATCAACATGCGCGCTAATTATCAAAATGTTAGTGTAATTCCGTGGGATAACGAACGTCGCTGTTAATACGATGGCCATACGATAAATGCTAACGTGCAATGATAATCCCGGTCATGCCGCGTAACGGTATGTAAGTGGCACTGCTGCATGAACGGCGATTTGTACCTCACCATCCCGGCGTGCATCAATTAAAAACAGAGTTGCACGCGGCGCTTTTTCATCGTTCTCCCCCCGCCTCTTCCGTTGGTATGATGATCTCGATCGCGACCACACTGGAGAGTAAGTAGATCCGATCTCCAATTAAATCATAGTGTTCTATAAGTCATATCAAGATGGAATTTTGTGTTGTTTGTTAAAGACATTAAGCGCGATATGTCTGTCTTGTCTCTTGCTCAATTCATCGAAAAATTTAAATTTTGATTAGCCTGGATTTTTGCTTCTTTCAATATTTTTCTCTCAAAACTTTGACAATAATTATCCATGTGGCATCTGTTAATATTCAGTACTAAATTTACGTTATATTAAACGCAATAGATTTACGAACTAAAGAATTGAGATTGCACGAAACTTACTTGAGTTTAAATTAATATTTAAGATACCTAATTATATTTCAGAAACATAGTTTGCTTGTAAGAATTTCTTGTAAAAATTAATCAATAAAATTAAGGATAAGATTTTCAGAATACTTCGTGCATATTTGGCAATGATAGAAATTACGTGATCCTATTCTCAATCTGATATCCGTGAAGCTTTCCCTTCAAGTATCCCTCTCACAGTCACGTGTCTTCGATATATTTAAGCGGATTCAAATCGCGCCTACCAGTCCTCCGATCGCTATTCTGACTCCATCTCGGAAAAGAGAAAGACGAAATATCACGAATCGATCTAGAGCGTGGCGCGGCGATTCGCGCATACTTTCTAATCCCGATCTAAGCTAAATCGATCGCACGCGGGCGCGCTAAGCGACCTCAAAACCTCGAACTCACTCACCTTACGATTCCTAAGTATCAGTCTTCTGAGAATGAGCCCGACGCCGACGGCGATGGGAAAGACGACGAGAGTGGCGAGGATATAGCCGACGACGGCGACTGTCTCCTGAGTGGCGATCGCGTCGCCGTCGTGCCGCTTCAGTATCACCTCACTGACGTTCATCGATTCCCGCGGGCTCACTGAAATCGGCTCGCCGGTCTCGAAGAACGTCCTGTTGAGCCCACCGGGATGATACATTGTGCCGTTGTACTCCGGCAGGATCGAATGATGATAGGCAGGCCTGTACCTCGTTCTGTTGGCCGTAGGCGTGAAAGAGGAGCCTTTGAACCCTGGAGGGACAACAGTATCCTGGGATTCGCGATTTTCCTCAGGTTTGTCCTTTCGGGAATTCGTTGGAATTACGGTGGATTCCTTGAACTTGGGAACGGGAACGGTAATCGATGTATCTCTACTGATTTCCGTGTTGTTGATAGTCACCATCATTTCGGGCGTCTTCTCCGTGGTTGTCGTCGTCGTCGTCGTCGTCGTCGTCGTCGTCGTTATCACCGTTATCATCGTCGTCGCAGGACTGTCTTCGTTCTGCAATTCAGAATCCACCGGAAGCACTACCGACGGTCGTTCCGTGTCGCGAGCGAGCCCGTCCATCGACCCGCTCCCGTTGAAGATATCCGACGTGTTGTACAGATGCATGATCGGCAGCACATCGTCCTTGTCTTTCGATTTGTCCGATAAATTACGCGCTCTGACTTCCGGCGATCTCTCACCGGACACGCGTTTCCCGTTCTCCGTTACCGTGGGCGTCGATGAGGTAGGTAGGACTTTCGACTTTCTGCTCGAAGCCTCGTCCACATGAGTGCCATTCTGAATCGGCGAAACTGTCGTCGTCGTCGTTGTTGATGTCGTCGTCGCGTCTTTAGCTCGATATCTCTTCTGGATCTCTGATGGATCCAGATTGTTCGCCTCTTTTGCAATGTCCGTCGACCTCAAGGTATGAGTCTCCGGATCGGTAGTCTTTTCCACTTCCGTCAGTATTCTAGGCGTGACCGGGAAAACTGGTGCCGTCAGCATTGTCGTCGACGTCGATGTCGTCGTCGATGTCGGCGTCGTTGTAATCTCGACAATTTTATCGACTTGCTCGGTCACTGTCACGGTCGTCTCGATAATACCGTCCGTTGTTGCGTTTACGTCACTCTCGGTCTTGTTCAGCATCACGACACCTTGATCGTCTTCAACATTGCTCCTGATATCGGTTTCATTGTTTAAACTTGACGCAGTAACAATATCCTCCTCAAGAACGTGAGACTTTTCCACCTCCGTCGTCGTGATCGCGTCAACGAGGACGGACGGCTCGGTCGCGTCCATCGTCTCGTCAGTTGCACTCGAATTTTGACTCAAGATTCCCATGACGGTAGTTTTTTGCGAACTACTGTTTCTCGGCACTTCGTTCACCCCGCTCGTACGCGAAACTTTCGAAAAAGAATCGACACCTGGCACTTCATCGTCCGAAACTTTCCCGCGATCCGCAACCCGCGTCCCGTTCGACGACCGATCGTTTACCACTAATTTATCCTGAGCACTCTCAATCTTCTCTTCACCGGACTTCACCCTCCTGGTACCGTTTGAAGAAGATACCCCGCTCGGAGAAGCCAACACTCTGCGGCGTTTGCTCGGCGCCAGAGACGAAGATTCTTCGTTGACAGTCGATCTTTGATTTAACACCGCGCTGGCGCTCTTCCTTAAGAATCTCCGATCATTAGCACCTTCCTGCTCGCCAAGTCCTGTCCGCGACTTGGTGTTGTTCCACCTGACCGATCCTCTGTTTCCGATCTCCGGCGATTTAACGGATCTCGTCGGCGAGATAACGCTATCATTCGCGGCTGAATGCGACGAGGACCAGGTCGCTGCTGTTCCTTGGCTGGCCGTTCGTTGCTGTTGTGGAACGGCTTTCCTCGATCGTTCCCCCACCAGACCATCAACACCACTGGGTAACGTTCCAGCAGCTGCGGCTGGCTCGACGGTCGCGCCGGCACTGAGTCCCGCCGGCGTTCGTGCCGGTTCTATACTGCCATCGCTGGCACGAGGAAGCAGAAGAGGAGAAGACGGCGGCAGCGGCGGCGGCGGCGGTGGTTGCTGCTGCTGCTGCTGAGGCCGCTGCTGCGACGGTCCACCGCTCGTTATCTCGGCACCGCTACTAGCACGACGGCCAACACTACCTCCTCCTTGCCTTTCCTCTTCGCCGCTTAATCCAGGTCCGGTGTAGTTGCGCAACAATCGCGTCACGTTCGTTATCGTATAAGCGTACACGTGTTGCTGCGGATGTTGCTGTTGCTGCTGCTGTTGAGGCTGTTGATCTGAGTCAACGAGGGCAGGTGCCGATGACTCCGTCGTCAAGGGCGACGTCGATAACGGCGATGATTTCGGAGCAATATCGCCGCCGGTCAACACGCGAACCGGTCGATCCGCGACGGGATCCGTGACCGGTTGCTGCTTAACGGTATTGCGATGGGTCCGCTCGCCCTCGATCGCGAAACTCGAGAGTCCCAAGCTGTCATCCGGCACCACGATTCGCAGCGTCGACGACTCCGTCCGCGATGGTAGCGATATTGTCTCAGTGTTGTCGCTCTCTTGAGGCCTCGCGCCCGTTCTCTGCAATGTTGACACTGTCCGCTCGGCATTCGTTAACTTATGCTCCGATTTCTCCGCATTCCCTACTTCCGTCTTCATTTCGGTGACTTTCTTCTTCTCATTGTCCTTCCCAAAATCGTTCGTCGTCCTCTCGGCGGTTCCATTTAAAGCTGCGATTGTCCCGTTCGAGAGTTTCGCGTCGATTTCACTCTCCACGACGATCTTCGCTTCGATATCGTCATCAGACTGACGTTGTCGCGATATCTGGGTCGTTGTGCTCGCCTCGGTGACGTGGGTTGCGTTTCCTCTCTCTTGCGGAACTCGATCGCGGGTCCCGTCCGCGTGAGTGGACGGGTCGCCGCGGTGGAATTTGTCGTCTACCGCATTCATTTCGCTCCTCGTTTCCGATCCGCTAACGATACCGGGGCTCGACTCGTTCCCTGGAATGACGTTAGATACGACGTCCGCTGTAGGCCTCGGCTTCCGGTAATACAGCCCATTACTCGAGCTCCTAAACATGTTCTTAATCCTCGATACTTGATTCTTCTCGATCGTCCGTCGTTCTAACGTTTCTAACGCAATATTCATCTCTTCATTCATAATCTCCTCTACAGGCGTGGCTATTGTCGGACTGAATCTCTTTGTGGAATATCTTCTGCGCGAAGAAGTCGGGTTCGTCGATGTCGTCTCGACGGAATTATTGTTACTGCTATTGGTGACGTTTTCCCGCTGAAGTTTCTGGCCGAAATAAAGAAACTGCGACATATCTTCCACCGGAATATTTCTCTCCACTGGCCGGAAGTGGTTGTATAATGACTCCGGCATCGATACAGTATTCTTCTTGCGCGTATCCGCGTCTCCCAATTTTTGATTGGTCAACATAGTCGGCGTTAGAGCGACTGAAGAAAATGTGGAAGAAATATTCTCATACTGCTCGGTCGTCGACGTCAACAGAGCTTCGTCTTTAAGTGTTTTCGCGATTTGCGGTTCTATCTCTACTTTCATGGCATCGAGATTGATCGTGGAAACAACTTTTTCGATTGATTTTCTCGACGATTGCGGAGTTTCCTCTTCCACTGACACTTCCGTTCGCGCGTTTGCGACGTAAATGTCGTGCCTAGTCTCTTGGGTTTCGAGGATGTCTGGAAGACCCTTCGAGATGATATCGCCAGGTCGTGGTCTACGACTCGAGAGAATCCGATGGGCTTCATGATGTGAGCGTTGATTCAGAATCTGTCGCCTTCTTGCAGTGAGAATGTTGCGTAGCGCCTGCTCGCGTTTAGCTTTTGATGACAACAGATCCGTGTGTGGGGATGTGCGCCCACGACGATGATCTGTGACTGACGTATCTGCGAACAAAGATGGAGTCTCTGCTGATAGATGTCTAACACTTTTAATTGCCTCGAGTAAATTTAATATAATATATATTAGAAACGAGCGATAACTTGATAGATATAAATATTAATTTTTTATAAAAGATAATTTTAGTAACGAGATATTTATCCTAAAGTTCTATGAGTCATTTATTGCTTTCAGAATTAAAATAAAGATTTTATTTGTCCCTATTAAAAATAAAATTAATACATCTTTGCGATAATTGATACTTTACAACTACGCCATAGTATACATTACTACATTGAAGAAGTACGTCTTAACGCGGTTTCTAAATGTTAATCACATGCGAAACAATGATACGGTGTGTAACTGAAGCGATTATAAGTTCTGGTTCGTTCCCGCACGGTTCCGGCGACGGAGAGGAGAATTTTCTACGAACGGATTAATGCGAATCGCCGTTCGCAATCATCATTCGTCAGAGCGTCTCGGTGAAAACCGGAAGAACATTGACCGCCTCCTCTTCACGCTACACAGCAAACGTAATTAAGTTCTCAATTATATTCGCCGCGCGTGCGACGTGCGAAATGAAAAAATTCTCGCGGAGAGGAGCTCTTCAAGTAACGGTGTTCCTCAGGGTCGCGGATGGCCGAGTAGGTTTGGAGGTACGAGAGGTCCGGTACCGTTACCTCTCACGGTTCCATGTGCCCAACGAGCATTCCGCCACTAATCGTCTGTCGCGATTGTAAAAACGGTCCGAATCGCGTTCGTGGATCACGACATCTCATTCGAGTTCATTCAAAAGCATCTAAGCATTGCATTATTGCAACACCAAAAAATTCCAACTTATTACAAAATTCTAATATTGGAATATCTCCGTGTTTTATTCTTTCGGTATAATTAAAACTTTTAATGACAAAATTTTAAATAAATAGTCGATTTCTTTCAATAAATTACCTTTCGTTTTAGGTAAATGAGAAATAACAAGTAAATAAAAAAACTTTGGTGCAACGTTATCATATACATATGTCCATAAACTCTTCCTTTAAGGTTCGTACTCGACGAACTTCTCGTTCCTCTGTGCTTATACCCAAGAATTGCTCTCCTCGCGATTTTCTCATGGTACATACAATAACGTCCGCCGACAGCCATATCGTGCAGATAATGGGCGTTGCTCGTTTCGCTTCGCTTGGAAAATTCGTTCGTACTGTAAAATGCCGAAGAACGCGCGCCATAATATCTACGTACAAGCATATTTCGCTGGGGGGTCATTAAGAGCTCGTCGGCGAGGATTGAGAAGAGAAGATGCCGCGCGTCACGAATTTATTCTCTCATTGTCCGTGTAAGCGGGCCCGACGCCCGAAGCGAACGTTCCACGATTCGACAAAAACTCTCGAGGGACGATACAGCTGTAACGAACTTAATTTACAGCGACGTAAAAGTCCGGCTTGTCAGCTCGTTAAAAGGTCTAATAGATACTATTTCGTGACAGCGTGAATTTCCGAATGATTCTAATGCCCCGTGAGAAGGCCTCGTGGATTCGGGGATTAATCGTGACATACGACGGCTCGGTTTTCATCCGCGATTCTCCGCCTAATGCGTTATTCTGTGTTAAAATGTTTCCTGCGACTTCGAAATTATGAACTTGAACCCGATGCGCGTTTTGGGAATTTAAAACTCTGTTATAGGAATTTGCGAATATTTGTGACTATGGAGGTAGATATTATATTATAATGCCTTGGATAATAGAGTTAGAAGTATTTTATAAGAGAAAAAAGTAACATTTAAAGAAGATATATGAAAATTATTTCTTTCTGTAAAATGCTTTCAAGTTTTCTGAAATTTTTATTTTGGATCCCACGCAATGCCTCGGCTTACCTACTAAAAAATGATAAAATATATATTATTCAAATATATGTATATATGAAGATCAATTTCTGACCGCTGGGATAATAACTTGTCACCGTGCATACGGCAATCCGAGGCATTGCAGGCTCTACAACCAATTCAACATCTTAGAGATACATTTTAACGAAACAGATATTCCGAACGTGCAAATCGCGATGTGGAATCCGCCCCGTTGTGGAACCTGCTTATAAATATACACGAGTATCCTGCCAACCCGAGCTCTGAATAATGCAGTCTGCCTAATCTCAACCGAAATCGCGGGAATTGTCGTCTAACCTTCTACTTCACGCGGAATTTTCACCAGTTTCGAGAAGGCATAAAGAAGAGATCGTAAAACGTGACAAAAAAAGAAAAAAAAAGAAATCCGAGAATCTTACAACGATTGCAATGAGTGCAATAATTCGGAAGATGCAATTTAATTTCGGTATTTAATTTGATAAACAATTTTTTAAAAATATAATTGTATCTTAATGTTGAATATCTATATTATTAAATTTTAAACGCTATACTATTCTAGATTTAAAACGTGCGCTATAAAAGTGAGAGGAAGATGGATGGAGAGACAAGGCTCGCTGTCGCGAGTCCGCGAATTGTCGTCGCGAACGTGACCGCATCGTAATATTTTATGTGGACACGTGTATGAGGAAGGTCAGTGTTGCTTCTGTTCTTGTTCCGTGGGTTCCCAGTCCCCGGGGGTCTTGACGACCGCGGGGACTGACTGGCTGGCTGGCTGACTGCCTGCCCGAGTGAACTACAATGCGGGCACGTGAGATGACTCCGAGATGTGTCACACACTCGCGGGCTGGACCCACGAGAGCGGTCCCAGATTCGACGTGAGATGCGTGGGTCCGGGTCCCGCGAGTCCGCACATACCGTTTCACTGCCCCACTTTCGTTATGAGGCACAGTTCGGCTGTTTTTTTTTTTTTTTTTTATCTTAATGCCTGTTTTGTTATCGCAACAAACGTGCCAATCGTGCATCGCGTTGCAATTTTAATAGCTTCGACATAATGCCATTCTCACGCCGACGAGCAGCCTTTGTCTGAAGGGAGGAATTGTTGCCTGCACGGTTCTGTGAAATTATCGAGTGTTCACGCAGTATTCGTGTCGAAGCTCCGATTGCGAGAACAATAAAATAATAGTAGCCGCGTAACAATTGACGTATTTTCCATGAACATAAGCTTTACCGCGTTTCTACGTTTATATTACTTCTCAGAACGGCATATTTTATAGTTGAGATATCCTAATAAATCATCGTAATCTCGCAGTGTTTTAATTTTGTCGATGCTCTATACTTTATGTCTATACAATGGACTATTATTTAATTTCAATTCTTTTACACACTAGATACCCTTATATAAATCCTGTTTAAACAATCTATATAAAATTACCTGAAAATTAATACTTTGTTATTTATTGATACTTTTATTCTCCTTCTGTTTTTAACTTAATTTAATTTCAATCTATTTATAACTCAGAAAATTTATAACTAAAAAAAATATTTGTAGCTTTGTAGAAGTAAATTGCTTTAATTGCAAATTTATTTTAAAATCTTTTAATTTTTTATAGAACGTGGACTCGAATTTTTAGCTACTCATCGTACTATACCTAAATAGGCTACAAATTTATTGTTAATTCTCATTTCATCTGGTTGGCAAGAATTCCCGGTATGCATGTTGCACGCACAATATAAAATTGATAAGTCTTAATAAGCGCGTCACGCTCAATTTTCAGGCGAAGCCGTGACAGGAAGTAAGTTTCCTACTGCAGTTAACAGATGTTAGGGAGTAAAATGGCAGTTGCGGCTTAAGGTGTCATAATATGTCAGTCCGTATGGCGAATACTTATGTCTCTATTACCAGCGCTATTATGTAATACTGAATGTTGTGCGTGCGCTTTTAAGATATTCCATGATATTGCCGCGCGACTCGTCGCTTCTTCATCGGCTTCCGAAACCTAATGCCGCTTAGCTAAGCGCGATCGCAGATAAATAGCAGATAAATATTTCAGGCTTGTAGTCATCCTTACATACACATGTAACACGATGCGATCCGAACCAAGTGTGCGTATTCAGACACGCATAAGAATACTGAAAATCTTTGACAGAATATTTTTCAAAGTTTCTTCTTCACTCAATTTTAAAGATAATTTTTCTTCCACAGAAAATCTTCCACATCTATTACAAACATGAATTTGCGACTAATAAAAACATTATTTCAATCTATATTTCTCCTTAAAAATATTTTTGATTACATTAAATTCGTATTATAATCTTTTACTTATTTGATGATATTGTCGTAAATCAACTACACATCTGTATTTTTCTTAACAAATAAATAATAATTGTCAATTATATATATTTAATTCTCTAAAACAAATCCTAAAATTTAATCTTATATTTATATTAAACATTATAGATATAATCGAATCTTTTTTTTATATATACCTTAAAAAATTGCTGCTAAGATTTATTTAAAGCGATCTTTTATTTCTATATATCACTCGATGCACGGAGAACGATCAGAACGCGTCTTAACGTTGTATTATTCTTCTTCGAGAAAGCGGTTTCCCAATGAGAACTACTCTCTGAGCCCTCGCAATTTATATGTCCCGTTTCGAGGGGGGTCGCTTTGTTGAGTGGATTTTTAGGGACGGGCTATCCCTCGTGTCGAAGATAACCCTCCGGGTTGCTTCATATCTATGAATATTATCTGCGGCTTTATTCACAGAGCCTTGGCCCTGGCGATGATCTCGATGTCACGAGGACTCGCGCAATGGCTCAATATTACGATATACCCGCGAGCATTTAGTCCCATCGGATCGGTGATATAAAAAGAAAAGGTCCAGAGTCACGATTGGTCCGTAGTCTGATATATCGCAATTGTGTTAATAATAATATTTTATTTGCATATAACATAGTTTAATATTTAATTTAAAATTAATCCTCAATTATCATCAATTAAATTTATAAAAATTATGATATAATTATTAACTTAATAATTAAAGCCGGCAATAAAATAATAATAAGCTAACTTTGCTTCTACATGTTTTGTATCGTCATGAAATAGATTTAATTGGAAATTAAATCGTAAGACATGCGATGCATGTCG